TAAGTGGCGACATGATATAAAATGCTATAAGACCGTATATTGTATTACTATTGTAGGTCCATGTCGTCAGCCCTTTACTTCCTAGAATGCAGAATCTGATCAAGGCCTCATCAGTGGACCAAGGTAATAAGCTCTAAACTTTCACAGAATACAGAATCTGATTGAGACCTCCTCAGTAGACCAATGCATTAAACATTGCTAGAATACAGAAAAACCAATCAAGTTTTAAAATTAGTAAAAACAATTCACAACACAACATATTCATTGCTTGGCCTAATCTTGTAGACATACCTTTGCATACCTCCTGGTTGACGGCCTTGATCAGACGAGCCTTGAAGCACGAGAGTGTTACCATAATGAGGTGGGCAGCAGAAACAGTATTGTTTTTAGACCTGGAGTTATGTCCCCTCCTTTACCAGGGAGAAGAAAAGGTATCAGATTCTTAACATTAAAGTATTGAACTTTGTATTAAACTACAAATTCTCATTTTAATTAATATTTCATCGTTGGAGTTCAAATTCTTGCAAACAGTTTTGCTACTACATATTATGTATATTTATCTTCTTCCCTGCTGCTACTGTTGCTGATTGACGAGTGGGACAACCTGTCGGATTTATCATTTATCGCAAAAACAATATGTTCATCGTTTGTATCACTTTTGTTAGTATTTTGTTCCACTTGGAATTGTATATTATTGATATTTCCTTGATAAGTTTCTAAGGTAAGTTTCTTGGTATTATTTATGTAAATGACATTCAATTATTTTCTATTGCAGTATATTTGTGGAGAATTTCTCCTAGCCATTCAGGACAGTAAACATTTCAGCAAGTAAGTCATTTATATTTTGATTTTGGGTGGAATCCGTTTTGCATCCATCTAACTAATGTACTATTTTCTTCAACATTTGTTTTCAATTTCCCCTTGAAAGAACTTAAAAGGTGTTAAGTGATTAAAAGCAATGGCACAGATTTGACAATTACCTGGTTAGTATGAATTATATTTTATTTTTTTGGCGGGGTGGGAAGGAGGAGAGGACATCAAGTATTACCCACGAATATCCTGTCCCGTCCAGTCCTGTCCCTTAAGATTTCCCATCTTTATCGATATCATCACTCGAATCATGACATATCTTAACAGATTTTGATCAGTCTTCATACAAACGTCAAATACAGGAATACTTCAAATGAGTTTTCATTTCACGGTTCAAAGGTCATCATTACTATTTATAGAAATTTGTCCACCAATTTAGTAACATCACTCCAGTAACTTCATTTCATAACAGGTTTAATCAGACTTCTTGTAAATGTTAAAAAGTTCAGGGTTCCAAAGTGAGGCCAAGGTCACAGTTACTATTTATAAAATTGTCAAGCAATGACATCGGGGGCATTTGTGTCATACAGCCATGCTCTAGTCTTTACTAATATTAACCCTTTCACCCCTAGGTAACATTAGTAGACTCGAACATACATTTATTTGGATGAGTCCATTATGGTCTACAGTGGTGAAATGGTTAAGGACGGGAACTTTGTAGTTTAATTTGTCTGTGAATAATTTTGATAAGGAATCGGCATATTTGTAACAGTAATAAACAATGTCTTCTTCAGACCTACAAATGCCCTCCAAGGTACAGCTTCCAATGTCGGTCGGGGATTGACGGACTTCTTTGCAAACTGTTGGAGAGCACTGAAAACAGAAGAGAAGCGGGGTAATTTGACCTTCAAATTGTATTTTACTTCAGAATATCTCAATGTATTCAAGCCTAGGACATAATCGAGCTATACATCTGTATTTAAACAGTAAAACCCTGATATATTGCCATAATTTTGTCTATTTAATCTTCAGCATTACATAAATGATTTGATGATAAAACCAGGACCCATAAGTTGTTAGGCAGTAACAAAAAGGAGGCCTTGAATATGTAATAAGGTGACAAATACAACGATATATGATGGTTTCTAATAAATGGATGGTTCTTACTGTACTCATAGACTTGTCTACACCACAGGACCAATGCTTTTATCGTGATAAACAGGT